ACCCTGCAAAACAAGTCATAAAGTTAGATTGAATCATAAAAGGAAAGCTCAAAAAAATCAAGAAATCAAATTTAAATCAATCAAATAACGAGATGTCAAAATAATAATAAAAAATCAACAAAAAAATCAAAAAAAATAAAATTAAGAAAAATAAAGATCAAAATCTATATAAAAATAAAATTAAATCAAATATTAAGGGATGAAAATGAAAAAAAAAATCAAGAAAAGTATAAAAAACAAGTAATAATCAAAAAAATAAAAAAAAAATTAATATAAAAATCAAAAACCAATGTATGAAATTAAAAAAATCAGATTTGATATAGTCAAAAGAATAGGGTGAAAAATAAAACTAAAAAACATCAATTTAAAAAAAAAACCCAAGTCAATCTTGGTATGCCCACTTAAATGAAATACTCAGTCAACATAATGTTGAAAGATAAAATTAAAAAAAAAATTAAAAAAAAATCAAATTTAACTTGATCTAATATTTTAAACCTGACATGAGTTATAAGAGTTACCAATAAAAAATAAAAAAAATAAAAAATCAAATTTTCATTTAAGTAAATAATGAGGGGTAAAATTAAAAATAAAAATCAACAAAAAAAATTAAAAAAAATAAAGATTAAAATTGATATAAAAAAATAAAATTAAATGTTAATGAATAAAATTGAAAAAAAAATAACAAAGAAAAATAAAAAAAATTATATAATAATCAAATAACAATAAATAAAATTAAAAAAAAACAAAGAAAAAAAAATTATATAATAATCAAATAACAATAAATAAAATTAAAAAAATAACAAATCAGATTTAATACACTCAAACGAGAATTAAATTTGATAAATCAACAAAAGACCACACCTTTTGGATTTTAGCAAGGTCAGCATGTCTTTCAAAGTCGATAGAGAGAAAAGAAGGTAAGACAAAAGTTATCAATGAAGCTCCATTTAAAGAGGGTGAAGAGACTTTTTTAATGTCATTTTGAAATGTTGGCTTTAGCCACGGAAAGGTGCTGCTTGAAGAGCAAAAGCACATCTCATTCACTAGCATGTATCAACAAGTTTTTATTTAAAATAATATTATATTTTAATTAAAATACTTAAATACCTCTAAGACTACTTATCAATTACAAAAAAAAAAAAAAGCTATATGAAATGACACAAACACCCTTAATTGTAACATTAAGAAATTTTAATTTTAAGTGTGATTTGGGTATTTTATTGTGCAAAAAATAATAATAATGAAAAGCCCCTCGATCTAAGTTCAATTAATTTAGTTTTTAAAAATAATATAGTAATTTTATTGCACAACTAAAAAGTAAAAATATCTATATACCCTTGTGAACTTTGATATGACATTTTAATTTCACTGTAAAGATAATTTCAACCCCACCCTTGCATTGAGTTATAAATTTTTTTATTGGTAAGGGTAAAATCATAGTTTTAATGTGTTGATTCATGGTAAAACATGAGAAAATTCATGGTAAAAGTTTGTTGAGTGTTTTATTAGATAATTTACAAGGAATAATTTTTGTTTTTGTGTTGATATCATGGTTACAGTGTTAGTTGAGGAAATAAAAGAGTTTGTTTATATGTTATTTTTTAAAATTATAATAATTAGTGTTGGTCGAGGAAAAAAAGAGTTTGTTTATATGCTATTTTTTTAAATTATAATAATTTCATAGTTTTCAGACCCAATTTGGTGGTTGGTTTGGTCAAAGGCTCGGGTTTCAAATTTTAACTGAATCACTGAGTTGCTTATGTCAATTTTTTTAAATTAAAATAATATTATTTTAGTAAAAAAAAATTAATGAGTTGCAATCAAATCTTATTTGATAAACCAAGTCATACCAAATTATTTATTTATTTATTTACTTTTTAATATGGCTTAATTTAAGCTTTAAGTTGGGTTGAATTTCAAAGTTATGAATAATTTAGAATAAGGTTTTTTGAAGTAAAAGTTTTTTATGAATCTTTGGAATGGATAAATTTATTGTCACCAATAAATAAATTAATTAAAAGGATGTTTATTATGTGATTTTTATACATTCTTTTAAAACGTGAAAGATAAAAATGCAGTAAATAGAAATGTGATATTTGTATTTGGTTAAATAAAAGAAGTTTTAATAAATCTTTATTGTGTTTGATGTGCAGAAAATTCATGAAAAATATAGATAAGTTTACTACTATACCCTTATAATTAAAGTAAATAAAATGTAATCGTAAACTTTGACTCTATAAAATAATAATATTACCAAGAACAATGACAAGTCTACAGAGAAATCTTAAACCACACACATATTATATTAATAACCTCAATAACGTGATAAAGTCATTAAACTATATATTTATTAAAATAAGTTATAATAATACACTAATTGTATTATTATTAATTTAAAAATGGTGTAAGAAACATTTCATTTAAAATTTAAAAAATAAGACCAATTAAGTAAAAAAAATTATATTTTTCTCATTTAAATAAAAAAAGAGAATTACATTCCGTAGTTTTAAGAAAATATTATATCAATGAACGTTAAACTTCTTGAAATAATAAAACAAACGCAATTATTCCTGACACTCTAAAATATTCTAGCATAAATAATTATACCAAACACAAGATTCATCACACGAAAGCTGGAGTCGAAAATATTGCTGTGTTTTTATAAGAAATATCCTTGTTTTTATAAATACACAAATTAATTAACTCCATTTAACCGGCTAGAAGCTTCTAATAGTATTTATTGTTATTGGCCGGATAAGAAAGGAACCAGCTGTCTTTTCGGACACGAACAAGGCCATCCCAACGGTACAAAGTTGAAACAGTTGAAGATGTTTCCAACAAGGGCACGTGTGTCAAGCCTGTGTTCCCATTAATCATCTTGCCGCGATGAGAAGTTAGGAGGAAAGTGGCTGGCTGCCTGGGTGGAGAGCTGGCTCTGGCTAGCAGCATGTGTTTATCCTGCTATTATATATATATTTATACACAACCCATCACGTTCCTTAAGAGGGATTGTGTGTTCACAACTGAGTCTGTTGTTCAAAGTTGAAGAAAAACGGGGAAATTCAGTTCCCACTTTTGGTCAGATAAGTTGACATTCAAAAAGCTGGAAAATAACAGGAGAAAGATTGGTCGTAGAAAGGCACCTAACAATAATATTGTTGAAGGTGCAAAGCCCCTTGTTCTTCTGGTAGAGCCCCACCTCTCTCTGTTCATTTTCTTCTATTTATATATGGCTTATGGTTTTTGGTTTATGGGTCGTTCTTTTTTTCCTGGTTGATAGTGTTTTATGTTTGGTTTCTGAGAAAAAGGTGAGAGAACTTCGGAAAAGGGAAGGAAAGTAGAGGATATTGTCGTAGAGAACTTTTTAATATATAAGCCTGTGAGAATGGAATCTAGGAGGATTGTTTTGGAATCCTCTGTTTCGATGCCAAAAAAAGATCTTGTTTTTCCAACGACCTTAAAGTTTTGCGTTCATTAAAGCTGTTTGCTTTCACTTATTTGGTAAATTGGGTGAGAGAGTGTTATGTGGAAGATAACTGATCGTGATTAAAATTATTAGTCTGCAGTGCTCGAGGTGGAGAAAGAGATGGCTGAGAATGGAAGGGTACATCCAGATTGTGTTAATGCTGCCAACCCTTACCATGAATGTGGTGTAGCTTGCCTTGAAAGGATTTCCCAAGGGAAGAGAAGGAAAGAGAAGAAACAGTCAGGTAATTGCTATTGTTTTTTTATATCTTGGACACTTCTTGTAAAGCTGAGAGCTGTAGATTTTGGCATGTTTACTTTACCAATAATATGTACCTCCTCACCATCACAGAAGAATCTTAGTTAGGAATCAGTTGAATGCGACGGAAAGTGCCATGTGCTTTAGATTCATACCTTTACGATAGCCATGATTTTGTGTAAGGCCTTGATCTGTTCGATGAAGAAAGTAGAGATAATGTTACCAGAATCTGCCAATCCACCTTTAGAGAGGTGAATTTGTATTCATCAGAGAACTGTTATTTGAAAAGGGTGAGGCTGAGAAGCACCGGACGGGTTGTGTTAATTTACTCCGTCTGCCTATCCACCTTTGTAGAGGAGGATTTTCCAATTAAGACTCTGATTGAGTTCGAAAACACACATCTTAGACATTTATTTTTCCAGCAGTGAGTCATGGCTATTTTCTTGCAACATATGAACTATTTTCACAATTCTAATGCAGGTCTTGGATCAGTGAGTTTCTGAGTTAAGGGTAGACCGAACATTTTTAAATACAGCTTTAATTTATTTATTTTGTGTTTTAGATTATCATAATGGTGTAAATGAGGGTTGGTCTAGCAAAAACAAGGATGAAGAAAGAAGAGCACAGCCTACTTGTCCCAAAGCATCTAATCCTTACCATAAATGTGAAGAATTTTGTTCTAATAGAACTGCTGAGATTAATCCCAAGGGGATTAAAAAGGAAACAGGAGGAGCACAGCCTACTTGTCCCAAAGCATCCAATCCTTACCATAAATGTGAAGAATTTTGTTCTAATAGAACTGCTGAGATCAATCCCCGTGGGGTTAAAAAACAATCAGAAAGAGCACAGACATGCCCCAGAGCATCTAACCCTTACCATAAATGTGACGAACTTTGTTCCAACAGAACTTTGGAGGCCAATCCCCAGGGGGTTAAAAAAGATTCAGGTTACCCCCTTTTCGAATACTAATACATTGTTGCTCGTTGGGTTTTACTTTCATTTTTTTTTTTGGGGGGCGGGGGGGATCAGGGATCTCGCAACCTGAGGGCTCAAGCCATTAGAGATGGAAGAATGCTTTATAACTCAAATATAAAATTGAAGTCCTTCAATGATATCTTTCTCCAATTTGCAACTCTTCTTTGATGCTCAGTTCCTCATGACAGCACATTGTTGTTGCAGGTTCCATTATTGGTGCTGCTTTAAGCTTTGGTAGAAAAAAGAAGGAATCTGGATCTCAGCAGAACTCTCCCCGAGCTGTTAACAATGTCCCTGTGGTAAAAGCAGCTCGCCGGGGTCCATCACCTCTTCCTACTAAAAAGCATGATGAAGCTGAGAATAGTGGATCGTTTTCCTCATCTCAACAACATTCTGATGAAAGTTATTCTGAAGATCATTCTTTTGACAAGGGGCCAGTTCGATCCCCTGGACCAATGCACGTGTCTGGGAATATCACGGTAGCATATCATTCCTCTCCATCTCGCGAAATTTATTTTTCAATATTGGCTTTGAATTGTCTCTCAATTTATTCTTTCTCCACCAGCCTGATCCTCCCAAGAGCCCTACAAAGCTTAGTTTGGCCTGCTATAAGATTCCATCACCAGCTGAGCCGCGACAGAATGGGAAGCTCCATGGTTCACCAAAGGCTGCTACATATCCTTCTGCGAACCATGAGGGAAAAGTCACTGATGGTCCTATTTCGGAGTATCTGGACTTCAGCTTTTCAGGCATATCTCGTGCTTCAGAAGAGAGTGACGAGGAAGAGGTTCAATCTGTCATCTCTGATTCCTGTGTGTCAGTAGGGAAATATCACGTGAGAGAAAATATTGCCTCTATTCTACAGTTAATCTTGGACAAGTATGGTGATATTGCAGCAGGCAGTCGATTGGAATCAGCTTCCATGCGAGCTTATTATTTAGAGTGTCTGTGCTCTGTGGTTCATGAGTTGCAGTGCACTTCTTTCAAGCAGTTGACAAAATCCAAAGTTAGAGAAATGTTGGCCGTTCTCAAGGACGTAGAATCCGCACAGATTGATGTTAGCTGGCTACGAGATATACTCAATGATCTGGCCGAAGGCGTGGAGCTGAGCAGTCAGCATCAAGCTGCGGAAGAAGCAAAATCAAAGTGTGATCATGCTATAGAGTCAATAAACAAAGAGCTAGAATCCATGATGGAGGATCTAGCTCAAAAAGAGAAGGCAGTTGTCGGTGCTAAAGCACAAATCTCTGAAACAAGAGATCGCTTGAATAAGCTAGAGCTCGATTCTTCTCGGTTAAGTGAGACTATTTCTTCAATCTGGTCGACAGTCGAAAAGTTTCATGAAAAGCCCTTGGCAGACGAGATCTTGTAATGCAAAACAACAACTACCACCAGATACTTCTCGTATTGAAAATATGTGTTCCATATTTACAATTTTACAGAATTTAATTGTATGAATCAAATTACAAAAACATGTAGATGATACTAGACATGGACATAGACACTGTACTTTGGTATGTTATAAAGTTTATTAGTGTATTATAAGTTCTGTGATGCGGAGATGTGATTGATTTTGAGTTTAACTGAAAAGTATTTTCTTTTTAGGTGAAGGGATTTCATTTCATTAATCAAAGAAAAACCAGCAGCAGCCAGTCCCTACTACAAAGCAATGAACATTGGGAAGAACACATTTAAAACATTAATAATTTATTAATATACTTTCTTTTTAGGTTAAAAAATAAGCCCGACACAGCAGCTCGGTCTCTAACATTTTCAAATATTATAATAAACTAAAGAATTATGAAGAAAGTCAGTTTATCAATTTAATTCAACTCCCTTGGTGGATTGATTTTGAACAAGAATGAGTATATGTATATTTATATAAAACGCGTGGATGTTTTCTATGGCATAAATCCATTATTCATTCTATCATATTTTATTGTAGATTTATTATTCAATTTTTTCTCAATTTCATTTTCAATTTATTTTTTGTTCAATTGCATCTCTTTGGACCAAATTCAAGGGCAATTAAGTGAAACTTGTTGGCTTAAGATGAAAAATTAAAAGATGGGAGAGGAAAGAAAGAAAAGCACTATAAATATATAATGGCTTTAAAGTTCACACTACAAGTTTAATTAAGTTTAATTTAGTGCTCATATTTTAAAAACAATATATATTTATGTTTGGTGTCTCAATATCTTTTCAATTCATTCATTGTACAAAAGTTCATTTTTTTTCTCTTTTAGCTCTTGGTTTGGTAGAGAAGAGAGACTTGCCCTTGGATTCCGGTATATATATAAAAAAAAAGAACATTGTTGAAGCCGATTCTGACCACCAAAATAGTTAATCTTTGTGTCAAATGGTTCTATTTTACAAAAAATATTCATATTAGATAATTTTTTATGTTGAAAGTGCCTAGAAAAAATAGATATAATCTCAGAAAGATTTTTAGTATCACGTTGATTTAAGGTTTTTGGATGGTTTTTTAGGTTTTTGAAGTAATGAATAAGTTTATCATGATTTCTATAGTGTTTTGCAAAAAAATAAATAGGCTAGAAAATGGGATTTTGGGTTAAAAAAAATCTTTTATGGCTAGATTCTTGAAAAATCAGATGACGCGTCATTTTATTTTTTTTATTTAAAAAAAATAGGATGGACGACATGCCATACACCCTATATGGAACAAAAAAAAAAAAAGGAGCCCAAACGGGCTGATCTGGCTTACCACGCTTAGTAGCGCCTAGGCTTTTCTCTTTTTTTTTTTCTAGATTATTTTTTTCTATTTTTTTAAAAAAATAATGCTTTTTTTATATTTTTTAAATTAGCTTTTACTTATATTTATATTAATACTCCTTCTCTCTTTTATTTTGTTTATAGAGCTTTCATATTAATACTCCTTCTCTCTTTTATTTTATTTATAGAGCTTTTTTTAAATAACAATTATTTTTTGCTATTTTATATGCATTTAATTTTTTAAGATATTTTTCCAATTTATCTATAATTTTTTTATATTTTATAAATGAATTTTATTTTTAAAAATAAAAAATATTTATTTTCAAATGATATTTCTAACATGTGCAACCTTTCATGATATTTTTGTTCTTTTCTTTTATTCAATCAATTTAAAGCATATTTCCATTTCTATTATCATTTTATTGAATTAAAAATTATTTTAATTAATAAATTTAGCAAACACAATTCGATAAATGTCACGTCTTGTGAAATTAAATATTTATATCTTTCTCTTGATTTTTCTTATTTTATTTGTGGTTATTGTATATAATTTTTTTCATTTATTAACACACATAATTTTCAATTTATTTATTATATATATGCATAAACTTTTTTATTTTCATTAGAATTTTTTTAACTATAAAAACATGTTTATTTAAAAGAACTTTTGTATTTGATAGTGTTATCTTGTACCATTAGGGAATGCAACACTATAAAACTATATTAATGAGGAGACAAATGGGCATAATAGGGATCCAAAGGCATTTTTGTTATTTGCTAGTTACCTAAAAACATTGTGGAGTAAAAAAGTAAACTAATTGAAATATTGAGTATAAAAAGAAAAGTATTAAGTTATGATTTTATTTAAAATGGAAGGACTAAATTTACATCACACTTATTTAATAATTATTATTAAAATACTAAAAGAAAAGATTTTGGCATTTCACTATTACAATGAATAGTGAAATACTTTAGCTTTTTATAATTTGATCCTTAACTTTTTTATTTATAAATTCATTCTTTAGTATTGGGTTTAATTGGTATTGAATATTATAATTTATTTTGATTTATTTTCTATATAATTATTCTCGTCTTATGACCTGAGTTTGACAGATTAATACAAGTTGACTTGACTTAGTATTATTATTTTTCTCAAATTCATCTATCAACATTAAGTTGATCCAGAATTTAACTTTATATTTTTTTTTCTATTATGTTATTATAATCTCATGATTTAGATCGTAAGTTTTGCAAGTTAGTTAAGTCAGTCCAAGGTTTCTTTTGTTCTTTTTTAATTGATTTTTTTGTAATTTCATTATTCAATACTGAGTTGATTGGAAATTAGACTTCATAATTTATTTTGATTTATTTTCTATGAAATTATCTTGGTCTCATGACTTAGGTTATAAGTTTGGTCGGTAAATTCATTGATTAAGGTGGTTTTTTTTATGTTCTTTTTTTGATTGATTTTTTTTTTCAATTTTGTCCCTCAATATTAGGTTGATTGAGAATTAAACTTTATAATATGTTTCAATTTTCTTTTTATGCAACTATCTGGATCTTATGACTAAGTTTTCACAGGTTAACCGAGGTTGATTGAGCCTAGTTTTCTAATTAAATTTTATTTTTAATATCATCATTCAATATTAGAATGATTGAGGATTAGATTTAATGATTTTTTTAAATTTATTTCCTATGTGGTTATCAGGATCTCATAATTTGAGTTGGAGATTTGAAAGATTAACAAAAATTAATCTGAGTGAATATAAGTTGATCCAAATAAATCTAGGTAGATATAATATATTAAAAAAATGATATTGTTTTGATTTTTTGAAGTTATATTTTTATTAGTCATTCAGGTTGTTTTTATATTTAAAAAGTATACTATATTATATCAAATCAACCTTTACATAAAATGTTTTTTGCTAGAAAATATGTTAATAATATCTAAATATTTTTTTATATTAAATAAAAATTTAAATGGATTATAGCATGAAAAATTTTCTAGCTACACTCTAAACTAATTAGTTAATGGCCTAGCCCATTTGTTATCTTATGAAAAAGTATCTTTTAACTTTATGGGCTCAAAACACTCCATTCTTTTTTTTTTCTAACAAAAAAAATAAAAAACTAAATTGACCTCTTTCACTGGTTAACGTCTCTTTAATACATTTGGTAAAAGTTCTTCCGTTTTCTAGATTTTTTTTATATATTATCTTATTTTTTAATTTTTCAGAAACCTGAGAAAAAAGAAAAAAATAATCTGAATTCTTCTGTTTAGATTTTGTTTTAATTCAATATTTGTAATTAACCAATGGTAAATTGATAATTGGACTCCAAATTGAGACCATTAAGGCCCAAGTAGCTTTTACGCCGCCCTCAAAAGCCTTAAGCGGCCCAATTTACAGCCACCGTGTTTTTCTGTTTTTTTTTCAAAATAAAAGTCCTCAATCGACACGGATAACTCCCAGATTCACCCTTTCTTTCCCTATTTTATCCCTCCCTCTTCAATCAAACCGCACCCTAGAGACCGATCTCTAACAGGTTTGTCACTCTCTTTCATAATTCCACTCCCTCGCTTCTTAATCTCTCTAATTGCAATTTTTTTAGGGTTTTGTCTGATAAAACTTGAAAAATTAACCTTTTTTTTGTGATTTCGAAGTAATTAAATGTATATAGTGTGGGATAATTAGGTTTATATCTATCCTCAGTAGCATCAATCGAACTTGATTAGTACTGTTAACGTTTGATTTATTAAGGAATTGCAGTGTTTTTGGTTTTGTTAATTGAAGTTTGTTGGGTTTTGTATTATTAATGTAACTGTAGGAGTAGAGAGAAGAAGGTGTGATTAGTAAAATATGGCTGATGAAAGGAGAGTGCATCCTGATTGCATAAATGCGTCGAATCCTTACCACGAATGTGTCGAATATTGCTTTATAAAAATCGCAGAAGCGAAAGCACGTGCGGAGATTAAAGAGACAGGTATTATTTTTTTTTAATTTTTAGTGTCATTGATTGTTGTTTCTGATTGTTAGTACTGGTTAGAAAGAAGTCGAATTGCTCCCGTAGCTGTATATAGTGTTATGTGTTAGAGATGTTGCCTGAGGCTGGATGTTGTATTCCTTGCAATTTTCAAATGCATGCATATAACTCGGGTTTTATGGACCATTGATGTTATGATGGTTCATGTGCTTACTTGTATTGTTTGTGGTGTTTACAGAAGTTGTGCAAGCTAAAGGTGGAATTGGTTGGTCCAGTTCACAAGCTCCTCAGCAAGGTGAAGAGCTTGATGAAGAAAGACCAGATCATGAACATTCGGAAGATGATGATGACCATGCTGTACTGTATAATGTGGAGGGAGATGTTACACAACTTACTGGGAGAAAGAAAAAGTTGTTTGAGTTGAGACTTAAGATGGTAAATTTGATATACTTGTCAACTGTGAATGTTCTTTTATGTAGCAGATTGTATATTTTGATTGGTGAGCTGTTTCATTTTATTGAGTTTTTTAGTATCGTGTCTTTTTATTATACTTGGAAATAATTATGGCTTTTGAATGCAGAATGAGGCAAGAAAAGCCAATCAAACTGCTATGGTATCTGAAAAAAAGAAAATGGAAGCTCCTTCAGAATCAAGGGGCATTTCTAAACAGAAATGGCTAGAGGACAGGAAGAAAAAGATAGGCAAGCTTCTAGATGCAAATGGCTTGGACATGACAACGGCATACATGCTAGACACACAAGAGGCAGCAGAGGCAAAATACAAGAAATGGGAGAAGGATCCTGCTCCATTTGGTTGGGATGGTATGTGCAGAACTCCACTTACATTTCAGTCTTTTCACATTACTTATACTTTTTACATTGCATTTCATGTGGGTGTCTACCTCCATGTAGAGTTTTTTTTTCCCTGAACAGTAAACACATACCCCCACATTATATATAAGAAGTGAGAATATGTAGAGCCACCTGAAGCAAGCTTCAATAGAATGCCCTCCTGTCTCAGTTGCTTCATATGTGCACGTCCACTTTGAAACTGTCAAAAGGACTGTGGCATAGTCCAGGGTGGCTGTTACATGCATGTTGAGTCATGCATCTGAATTCTTATATTAGTGGCATTGAGTGCACCCCTCAATAAGAATTTGTTTCAGGATTTAACCTGAGAAATTAAACTGATATATCTTGTTTTAACAGTTTTCAATCAGAAGACGCTATACAATGCATATAAAAAACGGACCAAGAATGTTGATGTTGACCTAGAAGAATATAACAAAATGAAAGAAGCTGATCCCGAGTTCTACCGTGAAGCCTCAAGCCTTCAATATGGAAAGGTGCCACTGTTGTGAAAGATGTTTCCCATTTGATCTTAATTCAAGGATTTTGCAATAATGTGGTATGTTCTGTTCAAATTATGTAGGCTCCTAAGATTTCTGAGGACAAGATTGAAAGGATGGTAAAGGAACTCAAGGACCGGGATGAGAATCGGAAGTCATTTAGCCGAAGGAGGAGATTCCGAGATGAGAAGGATATTGACTCAATCAATGACCGAAATGAACATTTCAACAAGAAAATTGAGCGTGCCTTTGGTAAATACACACTGGAGATCAAGAATAATCTTGAGCGAGGAACTGCATTGCCTGACTAAGGTATATGGTCATTGCAATGCTTTGTATGTTGTTGTGGCATGATCTAATTGAAGAATACATCTTGCACCTAAGGTCATCTAACTTCCATTTTCTCTACTGCTTTTGAAAAAATTTAATTGCTGTGCAGATTAGTCTTATACTCGGTTACTGTAAATTTTGACGCCCCATTCATTAGGAATTAGGAACTAAACCGCTGTTCATTCTATGGTTTCAGGTCTTATTTTCAGTAGCACTGGTTTCCATTATCATTCCTTTTGTTCTAACTTAGTCTGATCTTATGTTTGCAGGTTCTCTTCAAACAGTTTGATTATGAAATTCAAGGGGCTGATGATACACGGCAGTTGTTGAAACAGACTAAGAAGTACTCTCCATAACTGGAGTCGAGATTTTTGCTATTTTGTTGTAATTTGATTAAAGTACTTAGCCATAAAATAGCGGTGAATTATGTAGGTTGAATCTTCTAGCGACGCAGATTGGCATTCCATGCCACAATGAATGTCCATACCTTGTCTAAATATACAGTTATTTATGTTTTTGCTTAAGGTAACAAAGAATAGGGGCTGTTTTTGGATCCTCAATCCTGTTGAACTTGGTGGTAGCAGGTAGCTTCACCCTTTCAAACATGACTTCATTTAGCATCTCCGTGCCCTGCCCCTCATTGATATGGAACCATGGCTGAATTTAGCCTTTTGTTTGAATTTCAGAGTCATTCCTTAAAAGAGTTGGGGGGGGTAAGAAAGGTTAAGTAGGATGTCTCGTTATTCCATGCTTTTAACTATTCGTGGACACACGGTTAGCCGAGTCTAGCTGAATGGTATGGTAGGGGATACCTCTGCTTTTTGGTCGCCTGGTAAAAATGAGTTTTGTTTGAACCAGAGATGCGTTTCAAAAACGCCCCTCGTGAGTCATGGGCCCCCCTCGTTACCAAGGACCACATAAGCAGCGTGCATTGGTCAAGCGTGGACGCCTGGTATTTTGAATTTTTGACCCCCTGGAGGACCACCCAGGCACTCTTATGTTGCACCGGGCTCAAGGAGCGGAAACGTGGCAAGGGTTGATATAAAACTTGTAAAAAGACGACACCCTGTGATTCCTTCGATTCAAGCCTCTCCGAAAAAGAAAATAAAAGAAACAATGGCACGACTACCCTTCACTTTGGGTTCTGTGGAGTGTAGGTAACTGTATATATATATATTTTTTATATGGGGAATGGCATGACCTCCCACCTCAGCACATGCAACCTTGTGACATGGCAAATGCGGGTTGGGCAGTGACCATAGAATACCCCCATTGCAGTTCCTTTCAATTTCTACTTTTGGCCCTTTTAGTCCTATTGGTTGGACCTTGGTCCGAAAGTAGGGTATTTGCCAGCCTTTCAAGGAGACCTTCTCAGAGGTGAAAGCGCAAAAGGTAACCCTAGGCCCATACCTCCAGAAAGCATCTATGGTTCTTCCCGGTTACTCATGCATGCGCATGTGGCACAAGTGGCCGTAAAAAATACCCCATGAAAAATAAAACTACAATCTGGTCAAGGTTCATTCATGGATCACCCCACGCCAATAGCTGCTAATCAATGAGATGACGGAAAGCTGAAGCCTTCTAGGTGGTAGAGTAATAAGAATAAGGTCATGTTTGTTTTTATGTTTTATATTTTAAAAATATTTTTAAAAAATATAAAAATTCAAGTATAATCCTAAGTGACAATAGCACTAACTGACCCCATTAGCCATTTTTTTATCAAGTGAGCGGAATACGAATAAGGTCATGTTTGTTTTTAAGTTTTATATTTAAAAAAATAAAAAAATTCAAGTATAATCCAAACACACCCTAAGTGACAATAGCACTAACTAATCCCATTAGCCATTTTTTTATCAAGTGAGCTCGCTAGTTCATCAGTGGCAGCAGCAGTAAAGATTGTCCAAGCAGAGAAAAGAGAGTTGTGATAAGAAAAGAGAGGCAATTAATTGAGCACAACTCCCCATGACAATGATACAAGGCCAAACTAACAAAGAAAGATTAAAATTATAAATAAGTGGGCAAAAGAAGAAAGGTCCATCGTAATCCGATCTCATACACACAAACAAACAAATAGACTGACGGGGTCGGTAAAGACAAGCGCTCTTTTCTTTTCCTTCCTTTTTTTTAAGGTGGTTTTTCTCTTTAGTTGGCGGGGTTGCTACGGAAAGATCCCAAGGCCTTGATTGCTGCCGCTCTCAAAATGTACTGGTGGTATGCAGCAGCTGCTAATGCTCCCACAAATGGCCCAACCCAGAAAATCCACTGCATGTCCATCAAATTATGCACATGTTAATTATTTTGGATTTAGTTTTGATAACATAACATGTTTTTGGGACTATTTAACTCTCCATATACACAAAAAAGTATCAAAACAATGTCGGAATATGGCCTGTGCTTTAAAATTATCGTGCTTCTTACATGATCATCCCAGGCTTTTTCATTGTTGAAGATGACAGCAGCGCCAAAACTCCTGGCAGGGTTGATGCCAGTACCAGTTATAGGGATTGTGGCCAAGTGTACCATGAACACAGCAAACCCGATTGGAAGTGGAGCCAACACCTGCACCCAAAAACATGTGATGTTATCGAAACTAAATCCAACTTAATTAACAGAGTTTAACTACATGACTTGATATAGTAACAAAACAGGAACACATGAAAAGCAATTACTGCAGTTTACTAGTAGTAGTGCTTACAGGGACATGGGAGTCACGTGCACTTCTCTTAGGGTCAGTTGCAGAGAAAACAGTGTAAACAAGCACGAAAGTGCCTATAATCTCAGCACCCAAAGCTGTGCCAGTGTTGTATCCCATGGCTACTGTGTTAGCACCACCACCAAGAGAGTTGTAGTTTTTCTTCATGAAGGCCTTGACCAAGCCAACACCACAGATAGCACCCAAGCATTGAGCCACCATGTAAGCCACAGCCCTGATCAGTGATACTTTCCTGGCCAGAAACAGCCCAAAAGTGACTGCTGGGTTAATATGTCCACCTGTAACCAAAAAAGGAACAAAACCCATCAACAAACCATACGAAGACCTGATTTTGGAGAAACCAAAACTCTTGGTAAGTATAACATAACTAATAAAGCTGGTCCGGAAGGGGCCGGAGGAAACCCTGGGACTACCACAAAAAAAAAAAAAAACTAACAAAGCCGTCAACTTTTATTCTTTGGCCTTAATATAGGAGTTAAAACAAGGTGGTTCTTACCAGAGATACCAGCGGTGCAGTAAACAAGGATAAAGATCATGCCACCAAAAGCCCATGCAATGCCAAGCAAACCAACTCCATCACAAGGGTCTTTGTTTGACTTGTGGCCTATAACAGTAGCCACAGTGACATAGAGGAAAAGAAGGGTAGCAATGAACTCAGCTATGAGAGCTCTATAGAAAGACCATAGCTTGATTTCACCGAAGTCAAGAAGTGGTGCAGGTGGTGGATCAACATAATCTTTCCCGTGAGTTTGCCCTACTTCACTCACTTCCTTTGACATTTTTTTTGATCTAAAGATCCTTTCTCGGTACAATTAACTCTCTTGTCACAAGCTTTTGCGTCTCTCTCGGCTTGTAACTGTGTGAGTGGCCTCAGGTGGTCAGTCCCTTTAAGTAGAGAGAGGAGGGTATGAAAACGTTGCGTACTCTGGATAAGACAGGGGCCTTTTGGGAACAGAATAATGTTTACTGTTGGACCTAGGAGAGGGTAGAGAGACAGAGAAGATGGGTTGTAGAGAGAGAAAACAGGGGTGGGACCAGCTGTACAGATAGGCCATGTGATGGCTAATCATCTTCTTTTTTATACAGGGTGAGAAGGTTTAGCCATGGGGACTCGAAGGGTCAGCCTGGCATCCAACCAAAGCCACGCGACCAACGGTTATCTCTTGTCTTCTTTCGTTCTTTGCTTTTTCTCTCGAACTTGAAACATTTATTTTCGTTTTATTTTTCTCCAGTCCCCAGCTTGTCTTCATTTCGGACACCCATTTGGACCCAGTTCTTACACAGTCACGGTATTATGTTTTGGACATGATTATTGTGCACGATTGGAGGGCTGATTTGAAAGGAAAAATGATTATTAGGCTATCAGATTAAATCCCATATCATTGAATTAATTATAATGTTTTTCTTATGTTGATTTAACCAGATTTAACCGTCTTAACCGTGTTACTAATAACTTGGTTGGGTCAATTAAAAAACTAACCCAGATTAAGTTTTAGGATACTAACCTTTCGGATCAATCTATGAAACCAAACCAAATTAAACTTATATTTGTATTAGTTCGTTGTTTATTTTGCACTGGGTGTAATTAATTAGTTCGGTAGTGAGAATTAGAGGATTTCTTTGTCTCTAATGGTTATAGATTTGCTGCCATAGAAATGCTATGAAAGTGTGAAATGCGGTCCAAGAAACAGTAGGCGCCCCATCAACATCTCTGCCATGAACGTGCTTGAAATGTAGATAGGTACATGGCTCCATAGTATATGGAGAAGAACAAACGAGTCCTCTTTTATGATCCATTAGGGTTATATTTGTGACAATAATTCCCATCTATACAAATATTTGAACGACAATGATGCTTGGGTTAGAAAAATAGGTAAAGAAATTAGAACAACGTTCATCATTGATATCAAGTATCAATTACACAACCTTTCAATTATGAAAGCTCTATCTTTTGTAAAGGGTAGTTGGTTTCACGTCTTTCGTCTCAAATTTGGATTCAAGTAGAGGTTAACAACCATGTGAACAGTCCATGTATAAATGATTTGTCTCAAATCTTATATGTGAAGAATGACTTGGAGTTAGTTTGTTTTTGTTTTAAAAGTGTTTTTTTTTTATTTTTTTATATTTAAATTGTTTTGATGTGTTGATATTAATCGTTTGCCTCTAATGGTTATAAATTTCCTGCCATAGAAATGCTATGAAAGAGTGAAATGCGGTCCAAGAAACATTAGGCGCCCCATCAACATCTCTGCCATGAACGTGCTTGAAATGTAGATAGGTACATGGCTCCATAGTATATGGAGAAGAACAAACGAGTCCTCTTTTATGATCCATTAGGGTTATATTTGTGACAATAATTCCCATCTATATAAATATTTTTTTTTTTAGATTAACGTTAGTGTCCGAGTCAGTTTGTGCATACCACGATTAATTCCATGGGCCCTGAAGTTAACGACCATGTAAACCTTTAGTGGTCATCATATGAGCAACCAAGGACTCGAACTTCAGATCACAGAGGGAACAAACCCCTTGATCTCAAGTCTTTACCATTTAACCACCAACTAAATGGTTCCATCTATACAAATATTTGAACGATAATGATACTTGGGTTAGACAAATAGATAAAGAAATTAGAACAACGTTTAATATTGATATCAAGTATCAATTACACAACCTTTCAATTATGAAAGCTCTATCTATGGTAAAGGGTAGTTGGTTTCACGTCTTTCGTCTCAAATTTGGATTCAAGTAGGGGTTAACAACCATGTGAACAGTCCATGTATAAATGATTTGTCTCAAATCTTATATGTGAAGAATGACTTGGAGCTAGTTTGTTTTTGTTTTAAAAATGTTTTTTTTTTATATTTTATATTTTAAATTATTTTTTATATTCAAATCGTTTTAATATGTTAATATTAAAAATATATTTAAAAAACAAATAAAAAACTATTTTTTATATACTTTTAAGTATTTTAAAAAATAATCACTGTTATAATAAAAAACAAACTTTTTATGCATAAAAACTTAACAAGGTAGGGTACTTTATTTTTAGTTAATTGTGAGGCCACGAGTAAAATAAAAAATTCTACACCCAATAAAAGTATAATGTTTTTCCTATGATAAAAAAAGTAAAGTTTCTTATGGTATGTGCACCGTTATTTGAATAATATTGATAAAAATATGCTTAATCTTTTGGGTTTTATAGGTATTTTCATATATTTTTTATATACCATGGCTAAGTTTACCAAACAAAAAATGCCTAAAGTCATTTTCTAAAAACAAAACAAATGCTTGGTGCAAAGAGGACGTGTAAATTGTAGAAGAAGGGTGTTTCTTTTCATTATTTATTTATCCAAAAGTAAAAGAGAGGATAAAAAGATAAGTCCTTTATGAGGTAGAATCATTGTGGAAGTGGCTTTGCTGTGGGTGGTGGTGTTCTTGATGGGCCTCTCCTTACCTATCAAAGGCGGCATTTTACATGACGCCGTCACAAGCACTCGCCCGAATGTAGTCTTATCTCCTCCCTCCCTCCATCGCTTCATTTTCATTTCACTAAGTCATAATAATTTGAAATGTACATTTAATCTTGTGATGTAACTCCTGTTTACAACATAGTTATAAAAGCCAAATAAGTCAGGATCCAGGCTTAAACCAGCTTGGCTCAAAGAAAAAATTTAAAAAAATTAATTTAGTTGGATGAGTTAAAAACTTTGATTGACCTGTCATTTGGATAAATTCTAAGTAAAAAATCATTGACTTTTTAATTTTTTTATAAAAATATTATAAATTTATTTTTTAAATAAATAAATTAACCCGTATAATTTAAATTAATTATTATAATATGTGATCTGATTTGACCTTTTCAGGAAACTCAAACTCAAGTAAGTGAGAGTTATTCTTTTTTTTTTGGTAAATTCAATCTAACAACTTATTAAAATTATATTATTTCTAAGAAAATATTAAAAAATAAAGATATATTTTTTACCGGATTAGTGAGTGAATTCAGGTTTTTTATCTAGTAAACTAAACTTTTTTTTTTTTTAATTCGGATAGATCCTGATACCGGGTGTGCCCGACAGAACATTCCGGGTTTACAACATCGCTTTAAACACACACCATTAACTGTCCCAAACATTTATTTAGCTGGGAAAATAAAATGCTAACCTAATGTTCTATTGAATAATAAATAAATGCCAAACAAAAGAAAAGGACCAGACATTTCGTATCGGAACGGCTTAATTCACTTGTACATATCATCACCATTCTAGCCACGACACGTGTCCGATATCCCAAAACGGCTAGATTGTTCCAGAGCCTTCTTGCAATCTTATAGCCGTTGGGGAATGTGAAGTAGAGGGACTTGTCTACCCTTCTCAAGATCCCGACGCCCCCAACGGTCGCTTCATTTTTAATTTTTTTGAAATATAATGGTGGCATTTTCGTGGCCCAGCCAGCCAGTTAGCTTGGTGCCCACGTAGCCAACGAAAGCAACGTGGGAGAGAGAGAGAGAGAGAGAGAGAGTTTTGATTAGCCTGGTACCATCATAAATGTGGTTTGCTACGGTGGTTCTTGCAATATCAAAAGCAAGATTTGATTTTGCGATGACTTCATGCATAATCCGGCCACCACTAGCCGGCTCCACTTTGTTGATTTGTGGGATAATACAAGAACGACAGGTTGATTTTATGCATGGGCAGTTGTTACTAATGCAACAAACCAAGCATCATCTACGAGGATGATTACCTAGGCAACATTATCAGAAGAAAGTACGAATAAAGACCAGGTAGCAGCACTGTAAATTTCCTGGCTTCGTAAAGGCTGGAATCCTGCCTGCATAATACACGAAACAAAATAATATTGCATGACACTACACTCATCAGAATCTTGGATAGTGACTCCTTTTGCTTTCCTATATTCTTGGTATCTTCTACATGGGTCATGCTAAGGAACTCTTGGCAAGACATACAGGCCTGGGGAAATTCTGGGTCTCTCCTTATAATCTGTAGACTGTATATATAAATTAATGCTGTGGTATCGATCAAAACCCAGTCAAGAGTATACTCAATACTCGGAAACTATCTGAGTGGAAGTTCCTAGCTGGGTGTACAAGAAAAAGTCAAGAGTATACTCAACACTTGGAAACTATCTGAGTGGAAGTTCCTAGCTAGGTGTACGAGATAAAGTAACGATTTTAATTTATTTATTTTTAATTCGAGAAAGGTACGAGAGATTTTATCAATGCGAGAGTAGATGATGGCTCAACATTATCCACAATAATGGTGGCCAAGAAAAAGAACAGCCTATCCGGAATATTCTCTTCCAAATGGCATGAAAAGCTTGATTAATTATTTCACAAATTTCGAAAATCAATGAAGTGGGGTCACTTAATCATTGATGATTAAGCGGCACAGCAACGCATCCGCTGGAAAATAGTTGTCATGGGGTGGCGACGAACTGCTTTACTGTATTCAAATGCCAAAGTGGATTAAGATCATGCACTGAATAATTAGGTGTTAAGTCTTGAAACAAAGGTTAGTGAAATTGAGGTGAGTTCCTGAACTAAAAGCCAATAACAGTGAGCCGGAAACATAATCCAAGACAACTTCACTGGCAAATACAGATCGAGAAAGCCATAAATTCAGTGCTTCTACTTTATACAGATCCCTGCTTGAGTTTCTTTATTTTAATTATTGGTTGCAGTTCTTGCACTTTCAAATAATGATCAACCAAGTACAAATCATTCAAAAATACCCTTTTGATTGCTCTCGAGAAGGATATCTCAGAATAGGTGTACTTGATTGATTGTTTTTTCAAAACATAGGAAGTCAAAGAACTCAAAATAAAGAGTTCCGCAGATCTCCTTTCAATTTTTTTTCTTTCATGATTTTGAAAATATAATAATGATTGGTTTTTTAAAATACACTTTACTTATTAAAATAATATTTTTTTTATTTTTTCAAATTTATTTTGAATAGCAATACATTAAAAATTTAACAGAAACTTTGAATTTTTCTCTTCGTCTTGAGCTCATTTAACAAAAATCTGGGCCTCAGTGATGGCCCTAAAATCACCTGAAGAATCCACAGTTTCCATCATTCACTGCTGTGCTGAAATATAGTTTGCGCCGTCCTTCTTGTGGCCATGAAACTATAAGCACGAGCATCTTCGGAAAAATTTACAAGGAAATGAGAAAAGGCGTTACTACTATTAACCAATACTTTAAAACGGAAATTACTGTAGTTTTTCTAATATTTTTTTGTTTTTGTATTTTTTTTCAAAATATCTCTGTTAATTTTTTTTTTAATATTGAATTAATTGAAAATTTAATTCTGTATGTTTTTTTATAGATTATTATAATATTTCTTTACATGGTTTTTTTTATGAATTTTCTTCTTATGAATTTTTTTTTTTTCATTCTAAAATAGTTTTTGTTGATTTTTTTTTATATATTTAACTAGTTGAGAATTTTATTTTGGAGTTTTTTTTTTAAAAAATATTCTAAATTATTACAATATTTCCTTAAATGATTTTTGTTTTGCTATAGTGTTTCCTCACATGTTTTTTTAAATTATATTTATTGATTTTTTTTAATATTGATCTAGTTGAAAATTTAACTTTAACTTCTCCCGCATGTTTTTTTTTCATTTTATTTCTAAAATTATCTTTTTTTTTAGACTTGTTTTTTGTTGATTTTATTCTTTTAATTGGAGCTGATTAAGAATTTAGCTTTGTAGTTTTTTTAAAAAAAACACTGTGAATTGCTACAGTATTTTTCCATATGGTTTTTTGCTCTTTTTTATGATTTAATTTTGTTTTTTTTTTCAGAATTTTCTTTGCCGATTTTATTTTTTTCATATTGAGCAGGTTGAGAATTTAACTTCGTAGTTTTTTTTTTCTTTTAAACATTATGGATTGTAACAGTGTTCCACATATAATTTTTTTATGATTTTTTTTAAATTTATCTTTATTAATTTTATTATTTTTAATATTAAGTTGATTGAGGATTACAACTGTAGATTTTCTCATGAAATATTATAGATTGATATAATATTTTCCAGCATGGTTTTTTTTTATGATTTTTTTCAAAAAAATTTTTTGTTAATTTTATTTTTTTAATATTAAACTGGTTAAAAATTTAATTTTATATTTTTTTTCTTAAAAACATTGTAAATTATAACAATTTTTTTTCATATACTTTTTTCTCATAAACCCACGACAACATACAAACATTTCATAAGCTCACGGCAATATTACACTGGCATGGCATCTAGTCCTAGCTAAGCTCTGAACCACTTTAATCATCTGCGCACGAACCGGGTAACAATCCAGTGAATCTGTTGAGCAAATGAGCATAACAAGAGAATGTTTAAATCATCCTTGAACTTTCTACTGAGTAATGAGTGAAAAAAATGCTAGCGATCCTAAATGCTTACCAAGTTATTTTCAGGAGCTGTCCAGTAGAATCCTTGTATTGCTATAACAACTAAGTTAGAGGTTATGAGAACGAAAATACTCAAAGAGTGCTTTCCCATCCACTCCAAAGCAAATGTCAAGCATCTATAACCATATACATCTACCTGAAACAAAGAGTAAATAGTGTTTTCATTAATATGGATTTTCGAAAATAGAAATGATAAACAATTGTTTATTCTTAAGAACTTACCAGCAAGTAAATAGCAGAATATGTGATCCCCGCTGAAGCACAAGTAATCAGCATATAGCTAAATGTGTACAAGGATTTATTCACGGGATCGCCTGGAAAGAAAAGGAGGAGCAAAATCAAAGATACAATGTTATTGTGCGAAGAAAAGCGTTATCTGCTACTGCTTTCTTGTGCAATTAGCTGGAGAATTCTTGCACATCTGCAAGGTATAACATCTCAACACCCCGCGGTTCAAAACACAAGACAATTTCTGTTTTCAAGAAATTAAAACTGTTTCGATTATATTAAAGCTGTCTTCGCAGCAAGAATCTTCCTTTGATTCATTATAGGAGAGATTACGAGTCATTAGAGTGCATACCTACAACAGCAAGGAGCAGTCCAATCAAAAGAAGTGACAATGAGAACAGGATCCAGTTTTGCAGGCGTTGCTTGTGGTCCTGCAAAGCATTTGTGTAATATGACAGGTAATTTGTTAATAGTGCTGTTCAAGGTCGCAGCATGCGTAAATAAAACGGTTTTGGCACTTGTATTTCTATTGAATTATTTTTGCAACTCCCACTAAATGATTGAGAACAATAATAAGAATTAAGAAGAGAATGGAGAGGACAGCTATGTTTTCACCTGCAAGTGAGCAAGACTATGACCATATTGAAGTCCAATTATGCAAGTCACTGCAGCTGTTATGGAGCTGTGAAATAAATCATTGCTAGAAGGTTACAGAGAATTCGAGTCACTGTTCCATAGCAAAGGGCCAATTCGCGCAAAAAAGATATCCTGCTTGTGTTTATGAAGATAATATGGAAAGATAATAACCCATGAACTGCGTATGCTGTCAGTATGACATAACACAAAGCTACCACTAAGAACCTGTAGCCCTCGTAGATAGGCACCAAACTGATCGAGGTAGTTGAAGCATGAATATTTAGGTGAGTGGAGCAAAGAACAACTGCCTTAGAGAAAGCAAAGCATAAAAGAGGTTTGATTGGCCACCTTAAAACACCTTCAGGATCAAAAGGAGCATGACACCAGGAAGGTGCACTCTCTGGAACTTGGCCATTGGTGGACATATTGCACTCCTACATAGTGAAACTTCATTAAGGTCAAAGGAATTCATAGATGAATAGACACGGCAAAAATGAACTGCCTAGGATACCTTCAGGTTTCTGTAAACAGGTTTTTTATACAGGTGATCAATGCCAAGGACATAGCGATCAATCATTCCAGCTGAATTACATGCAGGTCCAAGATCACCCCTTACAGAACATTTTACCTGTGTAAGCTTTTGTGTAAGTAGGGAAGTATTAGATCATGAATTAGGACATCAACCAACAAGATTTTAGGCACCTCACCATGTAAACATAGCTATGATTTGCTGGAAACACAGAAGAAGTTGCATTGGCCATTTCAAATTGCCAATCCGGAACATATAAACCATACAATAATCCCAAGTATATAGCAGATAGTGAAAACGCTGCACCCCTACAAAACAGAATTTTTATAGTCAATGAAATAGGAAAGGAATACAGGTTTTTAGCTTTCATAATCCACTCTGCCTGCTAAGTTAAGGGAAACAAAGGATCATCAATCTGTCGTGCACAAAACATGAATCCATCTTTAGTTAATCAATTCAAATTAATCCCATTTATCAGCTCATTAAAAGAAAGAGAGGGAAAGGGAACAAGGTCTGATACTTGGCATCAACATTAAAAACTGAGACTATCAAAGTAAAAAAATGTTGTTATTAGTTATTCACTATCCTCGGAATTTAAGAGCGAAATGCAATCTCGAATGTTAAGCTTAACAATGCCAGTAATAACTCTTGAGAAAGCTTACATCTCTCCGCGATCGACATGAAAGCCAGATCTCACATAAAGCAGCAAAAATGTATCCAACTGATATTCTCTGGCTTGAATGACAATTAATACAAGTCAACACAGTGCGAGCATAATATGCAGAAAGAAACCAGGAACTTGTCAAGGACTCAAACAAAGACCATAAAGGTCATGTGCAGTGCTTGAGTATCATGTGGGTAGTACTGAGGAGTATTTCTTGCATCTGACCAGAATGATAACAAACAAGAATTGAACAGTATGTATGTAATGTAGATCCAATAAAATTTGAATTTTTCTGTGTGGCTAATTACACTGCCTATCTAATTTAATTGAGAAGGAAGCTGATGTGGATACTTCTGTGCAATCAATTCTTCAGTACCATCTAAAGGTGGAGTGGAATTTCCTAGCATTTCTTCATGAAGGATGATGCTTCTCTACTACTCTGAATAACTTGTCCTTGTGAAGAGTCAAGTTAGTACTAGCAATAGATGCGTATCACAGCAAAATATATGCTAATTAGAACGACAATCCCGAAGGTAAGTACCATGAACAGATTATTTCTCATTGGAAAACTCAACAGTAGTTCAGAACCATTAATTTAAAAATCTATGCACCTGCAAAATCCCAAGCCAACGTATTCTTTTCATGTCAACTCCATACGTCAAGTAATTTATTCCATGAAAGTAGCCACCTGAATTCAAAAGGGTGTTTTCCATATTACATAGAGAGAAACATTGTAAAACTTCACTTCCCTAGAGCAAGTCAGATAATGCATGCTACCTTGAAGAATTACACCTAGCAAAAATAGTTCTACTGCCCTTAGCACCGCCTTCCGTGTGGCTTCTATTCTGTTTGTTACTCTCTGAAATTGTATACAGAAAGAAAGCGTTCAATTTAAGTGCATCCAGTTAATTGGTTTGCATACAATCATATTTCAAAATCCAATAATAACTTGGTGGTTGAAATATCTAGTATACAGGTAGAATCACCAGAATGATCTCTGGGTCTAAAATGAACCGTTATTCTTAATATATTGAATTGCATTAGGAAACACCAATTTCTTGAATTAAGAGGGGTAGTACCTTGTAAACAAGTGCAAGAGAAACCCCAGCAATGAAAAGAAAGAAGGGCATCACAAAATCTGCCAAGTGAAGTCCGTTCCACGGAGAATGAGCTATAATTGGAACAATTGCCCCGCCATAATCAACTAGCATCATTAGCTGAAAACAACCAATATTTCAAAGCAGATCATAATTAAGTTTAGTCTTTCATGAAGCTTATATGCTTCAGCTTATGAACTAAGCAAAAGGTTCAAGTTAAGCTAAGCTTTTCAGTTCTTGATTTCAAGTAAAGAAAAGATCCAATCAAGGTGAACAACGAGGATTGTATCATGGTGTCTTTGCCAAGATTTTCTCAAAAACCAAAAAGAGAGACCCCAGAAAGTCAAACCAGTTCAAGAAAAGAAAACAGCAGGATCCAACTCGACAAGCCAAGAAGTGACAACTTCATAAGAAAACAACGACGCAGGATCCAGAGCTTTTAAACTAAATCAAGATCGAGAGATAAAAAATGACAGGGAGCTTAGTAGCTTACAAAGACACAGAGACCACGAAAGACATCAAGAGAGGCAACACGTGGGGTTTTCTTACTGGTCCGTGGTTGTTCCTCAATGTCCAGCAATGGCTTGTGCAGTAAGTCTGCCATTATTTTCAGCGAAGATCAAAAAAGCTTGTTAATTTACAGAGAAGACAAACAAGTGAAGGTGAAGAGGAAGGTGGTCGAGGGGATGACAAAAGCTGACGTGGCATATGGTGGTAGACTGGTAGGTTACCTGCCAAACCGTTATTTTGGTTAGAAAATATGGACGGCTACGTACGAACAAGTCCATGAGTATTCGTATCTTCGTATTCGAATTTCAAATCATACATGCACGGTATAAGATAATGTTTTTCTTAAAAAGAAATACAAGATAATGATTAAAAAAATATTAGACGTTCTTTTTTTTTTAATTAATAACATGAACTCAATTGTTGTGTACTTAACCTAATTAATAGTGTTTTATAACTCATCTTTTATTTATAATTTTTGATGCAGACGAAAGCCAATAGAATAATAATATCACATAAAATATAAAAAATTTAATAAGTGAAAAGGGTTATAGATATGAATTATAAAGCTTTATTATCTGAAAAATAAATATATGGTGGTTTGTCTACTAGGTTTTGTAAGATTTTTTTACATAGGTTAGAAAATGAAACAACTTCAAGTGGAAAAGCATAAAGGGAATTAAAAAATAATCCAAATAAAATAATAAATATTAAAAATACTAGAAAAATAATAAAATTATCTTGAATAGTAACTTATAAGTTCAATTTTAGAAGATCTAATGGTTTGATAAATTTAAGTTTAAAAATAATAAACAACAAAATAATTTTTTATAAAAATATTCTATATAAAATAATCTGAAAAAATTTAAGTTTAATGTAACAGTCAGATATTCTATTATTACAATTTTAAATTGTTAACCTACTATGATAATATCATATTAATCTATGAAAAACATTCGTTAAATTATTTATATAATTTGTTTAATTTAAATTTTTATCTAATTAAAGCACATTCTAGAACCTCGAATGTTCATAAGTTTTATTTTTTAACAGGAATGTCAAATTGTGGTTAATTTATTTACTTGAATTGAGTATTTAAGTCGAGAAACACCAAATAATGCACATGCTTTCTCGGTGAAGAGATTGAACACAAGGTGTTTATCAAAATCTACCAAATGAACCACCTTCATAAATAGCATAATTATCTTCATAGTATTTAAGCTTGCCTCCTATATGACTTTAACTTTCTTCATGTGATGTCCCTGGAAACATGGAATTAAAGAGTGAAAAAAAGATGATCTCATGTTGAAATATTCTTTTTTTCGAATTTTAAAAATATAAAATAAAAATGTGATAACTTGTGTTTTTGAAAGCCTTTTAAAAATGTTTTTTATTTAAAAAAATATAAAATGATTTTTTTATTTTTTAATGATTTTGATATACTAATGTTAAAAATAAAAAAATAATATGAGAAAAATTAATTTATATATTTTTAAAATAAAAATATTTAAAAAAAACACTTTTCATCATAATAAGAAAAAAATGAAAAAAAAAACAATAAAAATAACATATTGACGAGTGTAGTTTAGGGAACATGATTAGGGCTGAATTTAAAATAATAAATTTGGTGGTCTGCAAAAATTATAAGGCAGCTTGCCTTTCTAAAGTTTTAAAAAATAAATTAGATACCTTTTCCTCCCCTTTTCGTTGTCAAATCAAAGCATTAATATCTTATAAAAATCGAATCTACAAATAAGGTGGCGGGAGAGTCCTTGTCATCACGTGAGGATAGAGAAGCAGTGGAGGACTTTCCACAAACCTTCAGCATGAAGATAAGATTTTAAATGGTATCTTGTGTCTTGAAAATATTATAAAAAAATTTTAAATTATTTTTTTATATATTTAGATTATTTTAATATAATAAAATAAAAAATAATATTTTTTATTATTTTAATATAACTCTAAACTAAAAATATTTTAAAAAACAATTATTACTATAAAATGATGTACAATTAATCACGTTAACATCAATGAATTAACTAAACACTAATATTTTTTTTTTAAATTAAAAGATTCAAAGTTTAATTAATGAAATAAAAAAAATTTAAAATAAATTTTAATAATCACTTGTTAGTATTTCCAAGTATAATCATTAGGTTATTTTTTGAAAAAATGAGACTTCATAGCATGATTTTTTTTATTATTAATATGGATATCCAGATTAATTTAAATATATTTTGATGAATCTCGTAAATATTAAAATTAACAATAATATAAATTTTCAGTAGCTATCATATTAGTAATTATAAAACATAAATTAGAAATTATAAAAAAAGTAAATATTTTTATCTCAGACTTTTATCATTACTACATTTATTGTATAATTATAAAATTATATTTGTTATTTTCAGATCTTGTAATGTTGCAACTGCTTGTTGCGCGGATAGTTGATCCTCTGTGATGACTTAGAGAAAAACTCAATTTTAAAATTAAAATATTTCAAACCTTTATTATTTTGTAGCATGTAATTGTAGACACTTACGTGCTGTTCTTTAGAAGTACAGGGTTTCCACACTATTTTGGCTTATATTTAGCTCGAAATGTCCTGATGAGATCCCATTGCTATAAAGATAATAATAAGTATATTATAGGACTCCTTGCATGGTAGATATCAATCTTGTTTGGGCTAACATGCCTATCTAAAATTGATTTTACTTTTAAATTATATAAATTATTAACCCGATTAAATTTAAATGAACTATATAAATGATCTAATTAAAATCCAAGTAAGATCTAATCAATGAATTTTAATTATAAATTTTTATTTAAAATAATATCATTTTATAAAGAAATTATATTCGGTTAACCCGCTTACTCCAAAACTATAACATGAGTCTTTGGATTGGTTAATGGGCCTGTCCGGGTCTCAAAGTATGCCCGGAAGATATAATGAGTTGCAGAAATGTAATCTTGGACCTTGACAGATATTATTACAATTAATGATTAGGCCAGGCCTTGAGCCCATGTATTGAAATCAGGCCTTTGGTCTGGTCTTAGTAATGGAAGCTCTCATATTTGTTCAAACAGAGAAAGACCGGGAGAACCACCATTCCAAAGGCCGAAGCCTGAGAGCAGCACACTGTAATCCACTGAGACTGGAGCTGATGATCGTCTGTGTCGCGATCTTCGGTCGTCAGTTACACCTCCCCCCATCTCCCACATTCGTTTTGTCATCATACAATCTTTCCATGAAATTTGATGTTTGTCTCTGTCAAACAGAACAATCCACTGTACATACAGAGTTTTACTGAAGCAGACGATGTACTCGAGCTCCACCACATAGTTCACTGTTCCCTTGACGTGGTCGATGAGAGAGGTTAGTCTTACTTGTTTTTAATTTGATTTTAATTGATCCATGTGTGTGGATTTATTGTGTTTATGAACTAAGTTGTGGCCTGACTGATTATCAAAAAAGGGTCACGATTTATTGTTTCTATGTTTGAGGATTTTTTTTCAAGACTTGAGTCGTGACTTTTAGTTGGTTTATGGGGTTCTTATAAAATGTAAAGAAGTCCGGGGACTTCGTTAGGAAAATGTATGGCCCCTGGTTTTGGATTATGATCTTTGTGTTTCTGGATGCGTTAGTGGTTAATAATTTATATGGTTTGTGGTTTGAATGTGAAATTCGTATGGTGTCTGATTGTGAGTGTGAATTTGTTTAGTGAATAACCTGAAGAAATCTGGCCCGATGCTGAATGAGACGTTCCTTGGATTGCTTTATCCGACTGAGATTTATAAAGTGTAAGAAGTTCTTTTGGTTGCTCGATGTTCAAATAGCTTCAAGATGGTGTAGTTCATGGTGAGTTTGGTGTCCTGACATAATGTGTTAACGTTGTCTTCAGGTGTGGTTATTTGACTAACACGAAGGTGAAATTCATCTTGGTCACTTTGGATTTAGATGTCAGGGATGCTGATGTAAGAAATGTGAGGATCACTTACTAGCTTCTGGTATTATTGGCTTGATTACTTATGGGACACGGATCAAAATTCACTTCACCTCACTTCGCTTTCTGTTAGTTAGAATCTTAGATATGGCATTGCTAAGGCATGCTAATGCGTTGTGTATCAAGATCTACGAAATATTTAGGTGTCATTCTCCTAGTTGTAGTGCAACATTGTATGCACAGAAGTAAATGCCATTTCAAATCTGCTTACGTAAATAAGTTCAAGTGAACTTTTCTACCCATGTCTGGTGTGGCGGGCTTGTTTGGGAGTAGTTGTTGTTTATTAAAGTATTTTTCATGCCGAAATGCATCAAAATGATTTTTATTTTATTTTTTAAAAATTATTTTTGAGTTTAGCATATCAAAACGATTCAAAACACAAAAAAAATTAATTTTTAGTAAAAAAAATAAAATTTTAGGTAACGCGGTTATATGCCCATAGTATAAATCAGATATTGGAAGTGGGGTGATGGAGGGTGGTTCTAATAATCTGACTACAAAGGCTGAAGCTCCTTAAATCACCTGTTATATCTTGAAGCAGTTGGAGGTGGTGAGGTGTTGAGTACCAAGTTTCTTTGGTAATGCACTCTACATAGAATGTTTTATTTGTCTGGCATCTCGTCTGGTCTTTCAGTAATATATTGGTCTGTCCAGCCATTGCAAGTAATAGGAGCACCACAGTGGCAAAGCGAGTGTATTTATCTTGTGTGAAATAGATACTTATATAAGGACAATAAGATGCTTATTCTTTGAAAAGGGTTTCTCTGTTACTCATATTACTCAAACGAGTCTGTGGAGAGCCATTGACCTTCCAGCCTACCAGTATAGGTGTTTCAGCAACCCACCTTAGTAGAGATTTCAGTGTCCATATGGCTTTCACCTTGTTGCTAATTCATTATCTAATAATAGCTCAAGTACTACTTGATCATGTAAATTGCCTGATCTGAGTTTTGCCTCATTGTTTCTGCTTTAATCGTTTTTGGGAATTTCGTAGTTGTTTCGGAAGTTCCATGCTGCCTTTGTGGATGCAGTTTCAAATCCGTATCACGTGCCAGGTAAAAAGATCACATCCAGAACTTTTGCAGAAAGAGTAAGCAATATAGTCAAGTCATTTGGTTTGAGCTCGGCAGTCTAATCTCAGTAAATGCACTTCTAAAGCTGTTGGATTGCTTCAAGCAACCATTGTTCTCTGCCTCTGGCTAGGAATTGAACAAATATTGTACGAAATTGGAGTCTTGAGTTGTAGCAAAAAAAAAAAAGTGTTTTTACCTCTTAATTAGAGATGGTTCTTTTATTTTAGTGCATATTATTCCTGACGAACTTGACATGCATCCACTTTAATCGCAAATGTAACTCCGCCCTTTATCTTTCCCTTTGATATTTTAGATGGAGGCTATATTTGATCCAAAATAATTTGCAATAAAGTTAAACGATTAATTAAGTAGCTCCCATTCATCGCTTGCGTCTATTAGTTTGCCAAGCAGACAAAAGTACAGTTGCAGTTGCACCCGTGCAGGGCAATTGGAAAGCATTTCTCACTCTATTTTCAATTGCGCTTTTATGTTTCAAGTCATACTTTCATTGATAAGCTTTTCATTCGGAACCCAGAAGCACTAGTAGAAAATGTATTCGTCCCTATAAAACAGAATGGCTTGAAAGCTTTGTGAGGTTCATAGAAACCCAAAATAAATCATACTTTCATTGATAAGCTGCTTATGCGTTTTCAGTACCTGAGAAGGCATTGTGATTAAAATGATTTCAATTTTCCGAGTATAATAAAGGCGAGAATGGATCTGTTGATAGACCACATGTGAGCAGGATAGGAACTTGGTGCTATGGTTCCTCTACTTCCATATGGAAACCGTTTCCGCTCAAAAGATTCTGCGGCTAGTCCATTCTTTGTGGCATTGGGATGTTACATGCCAGCCACGGCCGTTGACAGATGCTTGATATACATGAGAAAAACATCAACGTGTAGTAAATAGCGGAACTATAAAATCTTTTATTTATGTGTCACCTCGCCTTCCCCGGATTTAATGAAGACCCTCAATTTTTTTTTTTTCACGACGCCGTCAAGAAATTGGTATCTGGCAATCCTATGATAGATGCGCATATGATGCGTCGATAAAAATCCTATAGCTGCAAATTCTGTGGTCAAGAAAAACAGCCAGCCGCAAAACACAGCTCCCTTTTATAGCTAAAACACCGAGCAAAGTAATATTAGATATTACTTTATTATCCAATGTATCCATCTCTTATGAATTTAAGTCACTCGGCACACTCTGGGCACGGGTGCATCAATTTGACAATAATGCAGTAAAATCAAATGACAGAAATGAGAGAATTAATTCGGGGGAAGGAAAAGAGCAACCCACCATACAATTCAATATAGTTTAAAAGTGGTTGTTCGACTATGAGAAAGAATCCTAAATGACAAAAAAAAATTACCGAGACAAATAGACTCAAAATGGTCTGGATTCCTGCCTTGGAGTTCAGATTATAAAGGCAACGAGCTGGAGGATAGAGTTCCATGATGAACAGACAGGCTCCTTGACAGATACTAAATCAAAACTCATCATCATCCTCCTCAGCTATGTGCTTCGCAAGCTCTTGCTCTTGTTGTTGCCTCTCTCTCCTTTTCTCAGCACTTTCTTTCTCCTTGTGGGAATTTGGTGGAAACCGAAGGGCACGTACTGCCTCATTATGCATGTTAAGGCAGAAGGCAATCCTAGAGTTAAATGCAATTTGAGGTTCATTTGTGGAATATATGTCCCCTGTTTCCTTAGATACCATCCATCCATTGGCATGATCCACCGTAGCATCAATAGCACCATCTCGTATTGCCTTGGCCACGATGCTCTCAGCCTCTGCAACAGGATTTGCAGAGTCCAACCTCAACTTCTTGGCTACATCAGCCAGTGAAATACGAGAATAAGAGATACTGATGTTGCGAAGTCCAGTCCTTATAACATTGTGCCGCAGTCTAACAATTAAGTTGAGGGTCCTGTCTGCGTTAAAAGTGGATGAGAACTTCTCAGCGACGGACTTAAAGAGCTCCAAGTCCCCTATTCGCACAGCCTGAAAACAACAAATGACTCCATTAAATCCAGCAATAAAACCTCAAGCACCTTGCCTTGACATGCCAGAGGCATCTTCCTTGGAAAAATTAAATCAAACTCAATATTTGTAAAGCCTAGATGGATGTCCATTTTCAGTAAACAAATCAAGAGACTCAAGTTTCAAAGACCTAGACTTACATTTGTGAGCTCAAAGTATGGCCTCAAAGCATTCTCCATGCCTTTCTGCATAAAAACAGTCCTCTCAGGGATTTCTCCTAGAAGCAATCTGACAATAACTGCCCACTTGTTGCATAGAACTCGAAAACCTAGGGCTGCGGCAGGGGCTTTGCGTGCAGCTTGAAGGAGAGAGTCTTTTGCATCAGTATACTCCAACTGAATTGTCCTAATCTTTCCCAAGTAGAAGAGATACCGACAGAACTGCAAGATAAAATAGAACCAGTGGTTTTTTAACAGAACAGAACAGCAAGATAAAATAGAACCAATGGTTTTTTAAAGGAACAGAACTGCAAGATAAGATAGAACCAATGGTTTTTTAAATGAAAACCATAAATCGACTTTGTTTCTATACTGAATATTGCTTGAAAATCACATTGTTTATTTTCACATCAATGAAGTTCCAGTACAACCAATCCCATAAGATTCAATGTTTCATCGATTTGACATATAAGAGAAGCAGGAAAGATGTCATGTGTTACATAAAACAACTATACTTAAATTCCTAAAATCAAGACCAACAAAGCATTGTTTAAAAAGCATATGCTAGCCTGGATTTTATTTTTGAAGGGCAGCAGGTCCAGGAGGAGAATGCAAACCATTAGAAAACAATCTTCTATGTCATGTTATGTTTATGTTCCAACAAGATTCTTCCATCAAAATCAACTATACTGTAGGATTTAATTATTCAACATATAAGGATAACTGTCACTGAGTCCAGTGCGTGTTACCTGCTGATTTGAGTGAGCCTCAAATCGCGGGGCCTTTGACCTCAACTTCTCTGCCTGGTCATATAAATTGTAATGGAGGTAATTCCGGAGCAGTAGGTTGAGAAGTGTTTCCTGCATCACAACATCATTCAAGTATAAGAGCCCAGCAAAGCACCCACAATATGTCCCTCATTACTGGAAAAATTACCTGGCCCAGCTCATCATGGCGCAGTGTTGCAACCCGGTGAAGAGCAAGGAGGTTACTGTTAGTGAAAAAAAATACTCAAGTTAGCTAACAAATGATGTTGCTAAGAACAGATTAAACTACAACAGAATCAAGACCTGCTATAGTTTTGTAAGTGCATCAACCAACGCAGATGAGACATCAAGACATATGAGACATCAAGGAGATAAACAACCAGACCCGTGTACAAGCTGTCATGCATCCAAACTCATGTTTTAACTGATGAGGTCATGCATTCAATAAAATAGACAATTTACCCTCTGATTTCAGCAAGATCACCAGTGAGTTCATAGCTAAGTGAGTAGTAAGAATACAGCCTTGATGCCAGAACATCAACAGTCCTCCTATTTAGGTTCTTCAAGCGAGTAATGCTAGCCGATGAACAAGTTTTAGCCTGCAATATAGCAGCACAATTTTGTTGAGAACTTGATGTAGTTATTTCACTGGAAGAAAAGGAAAAAAGAACATACAACCCTTCTGTAATTATATGCTGCTTCACCTCATTATATTTCTTCTGATCAATCAGAAATATCAACACCAACAAGTAGCAATATATCTCCAGCTCTGGTAAGGGATATTTTGCAGGAGCTTGAGTCACAGATGTCACAGAATCAACCTCCATTTCATGCGCATCTTCCTGTCCACAAATATTAAGCAATCAAACTTCCAACATCGTTCAAATTCAATTGCATGCAACATGACCAAAGCAAATTCACCTGACAACACTATCCAAGTATTAAACTTTACTTCACTGCCTAAACACCAACGAAAGACTCACACATAAGCACTACAAAAACATAACATCGATAACTGAAAACAGACAAAAACTCCAAAAAAAACTTTAAAGGTCTGCCTTTGACCATCACCAAACAGATTAAGCTTTCAAATTGAGTGATTAACTGCCCGTCCATTAAACAATACCCTTCATTCGATTCATTCACTAAATTAACCACCATAGTCACGATTCAACCTCCCCCAGCATCAAAAAAAGAAAATCCTCTTCACAGAACTATCAAAGTACCAGACTTCTCTTCACTGCCTAAACACCCACTAGTCTTTCACATTTAATCGCTACAAAAAGAACTCAAAACAGACCAAAACACTTCAAAAGCATAAATAATCAATCAACGAAAAATCCTATTTTTCCCCTTCAAATGATCCAATAATCAAAAGCCTTCATTATTCTTCCATTCCCATTCACTAAAACTAATTATATCAACAATCAAAAAACTAGAATTACACGATCTACTAAAAAATCTCAATAAATTACCTTAGGAAGATAGGAAATTAACCGATTAAACGGCTCGGATCCCGCCGAAAGAGCAAAATTAAGAAATGCAGAGAGCACAGAAGCTTTCAACTTTCTCCTCAAAGTCATAGTCAGTCTCACAGCTCTCACAATCCTCCTCGCTTCCTTCGCATACGCTCCAGTCTCAATTAACGACGCAATCTCCTTCAAATCTAAACAGTCAACCAATCACAAAAAGATTAAGATTTTATAGATAAATAACTGAAAACCTGATTATGTTTACAGAAATACGTATAAAAATACGTACGGTGGAGAGTGGAAGGAGAGGATGATGTGCTGGAATTAGAGGGTTGCTGCTGCTGCTCTTTCATCTCGACGTCTTGAGTCATGATTAAAGAGAGAGGATGGGAGAGAAATTAGGGTTTCTGAAAAAGATTTTGATTTGGGAGAAATTGGAGATGGAGAGAGGTTGGTGTTTAAACCTAGTTTTCTTTCAGCACAAGTCTAACAAAGTAGAGTGAAGAGAGAGGAGGAAAATATTCTTGTCTGAAACGGTGTCGCTTTGGATTCTGATAAAAAGAGATAAAAATCCGACGTTGACCCTGAACAGAACTGGGGCAAGTTTCTGCACTCACGGTGCTTTTCCCTTGCCAGCCCCGTCCTCAGCCCACTCGGATATAGTTTTTTTTTTTTTTAACAATGAATAGTAGATAGTTAAATAAATAACTCTAGAGGTTTTTTTAAAATATTTATATTATTAAATTAAATCTTGTTTTATACTATAGTTCTTATTATATGCACATATAAATATTAAATTATTGGCATAATAAAAATTTGAAACCACTTACAAAACCAGACAAAGACTTGGATTAAATTAATTACAAATATACAACACCAATTGACTAGTTAAAATAAGAGTAAATTATAAACTAGATCCTTCTGTTT